CGGGCTCCCTGCTAGGAAGGGAGCCTGCTTCTCCCTCTGCCTCTGCCTCTGCCTCTCTCTCATGAATAAATAAATAAAACATTTAAAATAATAATAATAATAATAATGTTTCATTTTGTTTAACTCAATATTTCTTTTTTTTTACGATTTTATTTATTTATTTGACAGAGATAGAGAGAGCCCAAGTAGGCAGAGTGGCAGGCAGAGGGAGAAGGAGAAGCAGGCTCCCCGTTGAGCAGGGAACCTGACACAGGGCTCGATCCCAGGACCCTGGGATCATGACCCGAGCTGAAAGCAGACGCTTAACCTACTGAGCCACCCAGGTGCCCCATAACTCAATATTTCTCAAATTATTTGAGAACAAACATTTTTCTTATGGCACACAGTGTACCATGAGACACCAGTTTGGGAAACAGTGCTTTAATACTTAACTTACAGAATGATTCTGAGTAAAAGATCATTTAAAAGATTTCTGCCCCATTTATCCTTACTTTTTTTTTTTTACAGAAGACATTATATACTATGGTCTTATATGCAGTGGTCGGTGGGGGTTTTCTGAAGGTTTTGAGGCTTATCCTGCCCCAGAATACATTCAAATCACGTGCAAGTGGGATATTTTCCTTTATTTTCCCACTTCTGCGCAATTTGTTTTCCCTTCTGCATAATGATTTCAGTAATTTTATACTCTGTCTTGTATTTTATTTTATTTGTTCATTTAACAAACACATCTGTAGTGTTCACTGTGTCTAAGTACTTTATTAATAACAACTCATATAACCTAAAATAACTCCATGAGTTAGATACCATCATCATTATCCCAATTGTACAGGCCAGAAAACTGTAGTTTCAGATGGTAACAAGGCGTTCTTGCCTAGATCTGATTTTTTAAGAAAACTGTCACAAGTAGTTTCCTTTACTCATATTATTGGTCTTATGGTAAACATAAATTTCATATTATGTAAAGGAAGAAAACTTCCATTCTCTGTCACTTGTTTTTTAATGTGTCTTTAGTCAACATTAAATATTGAAATGTTCTATTGAAGTATGTTTTCTATCATTTTTCAGTGAATGTTAATAACGTATCATGCTAGCTTTCTTTACTGAGGCCCAATAGTCCTTGTTTATGGTGGATTACTTGTTCCCATGTGTTGCTTTGTTTTGTGCATTAACATTAACATTTTATTTCTAAGCTCATAAATGAGTTGAAGAACCATTCAATTCTGTAAGGGAGGGGGAGATACAAATCATATTTACCTCAGCCAATTCAATATATCAATATTAATGAAGTAGTTACCATGTTACTCTGTACCAGACACTGTAGAACATGAAAGATTCAAAATGAGCATAATATGAGGACAATGCTTAGCAGCAGAACTTCTAAGACCATAAAGGAAAAAGAATCATGTTAGAGAAGACAATAATTTTGAGGACTTTATATGTGCCTGGAATCCGTACAACTTAACAGGTGTTTTCTGCTCCTCGATTTTGGTTTTCCCCAAAGACTTAAGATATTACTTCAACAGAAGAGGTCCCAGATAAACTAGGTGAACACACAGGACTAACATGACCTCTGTAAGGGCGAAGTCTTCATCCATCTTACTGGTAGCTATATGCTTATCGTGTAGCCAAGCACCAGACTCACAGTGAGTGCTCAATAAGCAACTTTATTAAAATGAAGAAATGAGCCAGCTCTTTGACCAAACCAACTCATCAAGCTGGTTTTTCAAAGGCAGGGTGGCTAGAAATTTGTTCGATGGGTCACCAAGAAAGGAAATGTTGCAAAGACTTTATCTTCAGGTGAGGTCAGTCTGTGGGGGGAGGGACAGGGAGCTTGGAGAAATGGAAACAGGATGGCAGACAGAGTCCTTGGGACCTGGAGAAAGAGATCAAGCCTACAAGGTTTTCTGGAAGCTTCCACTCTCCTAGAAATAGAGCTGACCTGTACCCCACCTGGACCTGCACTTGGCCCTTTGCATCCCAAAACTCTCCAAGCTTGTGGGGTCAGGACTTAGGGACAATTAAGGAACACAGAAAGGTCTCACCTTCCATAATTGTCCCTGACAAGCCCTGAGCCAGTCCAGCCACCTGGTACCTGGTGACCAAAATACATTCAGACCCAGGGAAACAGATGCTACATGTGGACTGAATACATATATCCCGTCAAGTGAGCAAACTTGTCACAAGCACTTCTCCTCTTTCCTTCCACCTTTTTTCATGTCTTCATTGCCTTCCCTAATTTCTCCCCCTGCCCCTCGAGAAGTTCCTTTCCCCTTTCCAAACCATCTCTATTTTCCCTTCTGGGCCCTCCTCCATCTCAGTTTCCAGATCCTTGCTTTGCCCCCACTCCAACCTCTCCCACTGGGCCCTTTTGCCCTCTCCCCCTGCCAGACCCTCTGCCTTCACCCCTGCCTGCCCCCTGCCCACTCCCCCTGAGCCCCCCTTGCCCTATCACTAGGACCCCCGCAGGTGGCTGTGGATTCTGCAACTGCTTCCTTCTCGTCTCTCTCATCTTGGTGGGGTCCATAGCCAGCTCTCCTGTTGCTCAGAGATGTGGAGGCAGTTGCTAAGAGACAGTGAAACGTCAGTACCTGGCCCTCGAGGAAAAAAAGGGAGCGAAAAAGGGAGAGAGGAGGGGGAGAGAGGAAAGGAAGGCGGAGGGAGGGGAAGACCTGGCGGAAGCCACAAACCCCAGCAGCCTCGGCACCGGCTGAGTTTCGGGAAGAAGCATTCGGATTCTGTGAACTTTCTTCTAAGCATCCTCTCTCTGATTCCCTTTTTTGAGTAAAAGAAGGGGAACCGGCCAGTCCCTGGGAGCACAGGACAGGAAACCACAGAGGATGCTGCCCTGGGATCCAGGAGCCATGGAGGAGGAGAGGCCGGGGGAGGGGAAGTGCCGGCGAGGCAATCTGTTCTCCTGAAGCAGCAAGCGGGATTCCAGGATGAGGGAGGGAGACCCTTGTCTGCTGCAGATTGATGGCTGTGTCCTTGGAACAGAGTAAGTGGGCTCCTGAGGGCCTGTGGGAGTGCAAGGCGAGACCCTGGGGTTCAGAAAAATGGGTCTGGATAAAGGAGCTGGGTGATTTCCCAGTGGGCGGGATTGAGGCTGGAAATGCTGGGAAGGGAGGCAGTGCTAGACCAAGGGGGTGAGGGAGGACAAGTGAGGACAACCAGGGGCCACAGAGGATGCGGGGGCCACAAGGGATGCAGGTGAACGGCGGGGCTGAGACACTGGTGTGTCATCGTGTGGTCTCTCTGCCTGACCAAATGTGGGCGTGGGCTCACACTGGGGGGCAGAGTGGGGCGCTTGTAGAAAGGGAGCTAGGATTAGGGGTGTGCATGGGGGGAAGGGGGGAAAGACTGGAAAGGGGGCTCTGCAGGAGGGCGTGTACAGAAGAAAGCTGGACAGAAAATTGGGAGGTGTGAGTGCAGGGCAGGGCAAAATGTGGGAGATCACAGGAGAACAATGTGTGCATTTGTGCGTGTGTGTGCGTGCGTGCGTGTGTGTGTGTGTGTGTGTGTGTGTGAAAGAGAGAGACGAGGGAGAGGGCGAGGAAGGGAGAGGGGAGTGCTAACCTTGTCTGAAAGGGGTATGCGAACGACCAGCACCAGCGTGTGTGTGCATGTTCTCTTAGAGAGTTGTTCAAGGGTGGGGTGTTTGGTGTTGAGGGGCGAGGCTAGGAGGAGAAGCAAATGCATCTCACCCAGGACAGAACCCCAGAGGAGGACGGGCGACCACAACGTGAGGGTGGGGTCCAAGCCCACTGCTGCCCACACCTGACCCACAGTTCACAGAGAACTCTGTGGCTAGTGGCAGAGAAGAAGGGGGGCAGGGAATCTAGGAGGGGACAAGGGGGTGGAGAGGGCATTGGAGATCTCTGCCTGAGTGCTTTCCTTGTTGACAGAGGGAATTCTGCCCCCGCCTGCTGAACACAGAGCTGGGCTGGGAGAGAGGCACTGGCTCAGGAGAAGTCGCCAAAGCTGTCCTAGTTGACCCCCATCCTTCACCTCCAGGACACATGGCTCTTTCCAGCCTTGGCAGGCAACAGTGGGTGTCACTCGGGGTCCTCCCCAACCTGGGGAAAGAAGAGCCTTCTTGGGGATTTCAGTAGATGCTGAGGCTGAGGACTCGGGCTTTCAGGAGACCCATGGAGACCCACTCCCCGCCAGGCTCCCTTCCCAAAACACCCACCCCAGGACCCCCTTGGACTCGAGCCCCCTGGGCCATCAGGAGGAATGGCTTCTGAGACCTCCAATGCTGGAGACCCAGATGCAGCCCTGGCCTCCTAATTGGTCCCCGATGTGGGACAGGGCTCAGGGTTTTTAGACTTACCAGAACCTTTCATGTCCTCCCCCCTGTCCCCGACCCACCACCAGCACTCCAACATGATACAGAGAGGAAGCACCCAGCAGTCATGGGTGAGAGGAGCACAGATCTCCAGGGACCCTTATATGACCTGCTAGCAGCTGGTCCAGCCCCATCCTCAGCTCCTTCCTCTCCCAAGTTTTGATCATCTTCTCAGACCCTGAGGGGGTTTAGATTTATTGTCCCCTGCGCTCCAAAGGGGGCTTCCTGGGGATCTCACCTAAGGAGCCCTCTGGTGCTTAGAGGCTCTGGGGAAAGGCTTGAGCCATGATACCACGTGCCCAGAAGCCCCACCTTCCAGGACTCTGGCCCTGAAGTAGCTGTCCTTCTGAGCCACTGACTCTTGATTCATGGACCTAGCCTCAGCTCCAGTGGGTTCCCTACAGTACTGTTGTTGCTAGCTGTCCAAGATGGGTGACACCTGGTCCCAGCTGCCCTGGCCTGGGCCCCCCCACCCAGCCATGCTGCTGGTCTGCCTCCTCTTGGCAGCCGGGGTGATGCGCTCGGACGCCGGCACCAGCTGCCCCGTGCTTTGTACGTGCCATAACCAGGTGGTGGACTGCAGCAGCCAGAGGCTCTTCTCCGTGCCCCCCGACCTGCCAATGGACACCCGAAACCTCAGCCTGGCTCACAACAGAATCACAGCCGTGCCGCCCGGCTACCTCACGTGCTACATGGAGCTCCGCGTGCTGGATCTGCGCAACAACTCCTTGATGGAGCTGCCCCCGGGCCTCTTTCTCCACGCCAAGCGCTTGGCACACCTGGATCTGAGCTACAACAACCTCAGCCACGTGCCAGCCGATATGTTCCAGCAAGCCCACGGCCTGGTGCACATCGACCTGAGCCATAACCCGTGGCTGCGCAGGGTGCATCCCCAGGCCTTCCAGGGCCTGGTGCAGCTCCGAGACCTGGACCTCAGCTACGGGGGCCTGGCCTTCCTCAGCCTCGAGGCCCTCGAGGGCCTGCCGGGGCTGGTGACCCTGCAAATCGGCGGCAACCCCTGGGTGTGCGGCTGCACCATGGAGCCGCTGCTGAAGTGGCTGCGGAACCGGATCCAGCGCTGCACGGCGGGTAAGGCAGGTGGCCAGGACTGGGCAGCCGTGGGGACAGAGGGTCTTGCCTCACTGCAAGCAAAGTCTCCAAAAAACAGGGAGGGACTGAGAGCTCGTGGCAGCCGGCGCGTGCCCCGGTCTGTGCTGGCCGCTGGGTGCCCAGCCCTTTCACTCCACCAGTATTATCCCTGAGGCGCTTGCCGTGCATATTGGGCGGCAATATCCATTAATGAATGTTAATGAGACACACCCAGCCCTTGCCTCTGTGGCACTTATGACCTAAAGAGGCAGACAGATAGTAAACAAGAGTAGCTAATAATACAGTGTGTGCTGAGCTTTCACCCTGACCTAAGAACTTGGCACGTGCCAAGTGGCTACCCCACTATTATGACCCCCATTTTGCAGGGGAAGAAACTGAGATCTAGAACAATGAAAAGACTTGCCCAGAGTCACTCATTTAGAAAGTAGCAGGGCCGTGGATAAAACCCAAGTTTATTTGACTTGTAAGCCCCATTCTTCTCTACTCTACGCTCTGCTTTTTAAGTGTTCTAAGTGCTGGGAAAACTCAAAGAAATAGAAATGGCTAACACCCTTTATTTTAGTACTTACTATCTGCTTTATTCTAAGCATATTTCATATTTAACTCATCTCATCCTCATAAGAACCATGATGAGACACACACACACACACACACTACTCTATAGAGAAGGAAACCAAGGCACAGAGAGGTTCAGTAACTTGCCCAAAGCCACACAGCTGCTAAGTGTTGGAGTCGGGATTCAAACCCGGGCAGTCTGGCCGCCTTCTGGCTATGTCTTGAAGAGTCGGGTCCAAAGCTAACAGAAAGAGTCAGGGCAGAGTTCTGACTGGCCAAAGGGCCTCAGCAGAGCTCTGCAAGGTTTGGACATGGGGTGGGGAGCTGAGAAGAGAAATGGATGTGGCAATTTAACCAACCAAGCCCAAGTGGGGGTGCACTGGGGACTGAAGGAGCCTGAGTCACACAGGCTTCATGGGCCCTGGCCTCTCCCGGAGGCAGACAATGTTCAGTTGTGGCCCCCCGTCACCAGCTCTCTTCTGTGGCAGCACTGAGCCTTGGCACCAGCCTCCAGCAGAACAACAGGAAATAACTGGGGGCTCCATCTCAGGGGATTCCCCAGAGCCTGGCTCAGAGTATGTTCAAAGAAGCGATGCTGAGTGAGGTAGGAGGGAGAGGAGGACTGAGTGGGGAGCCCAGGACCAAAATAGTTTGGGGGGGCTGTGGGTCACGATTCCACTGTTTCTACACAGCTGTGGGAGGAAGTTCTCTGGGACCAAAATAGCTGGGGATGGAGATGGGGCAACGCTAGGGGGCATGAGGGGGAGGCTGCCTGGAGCAGTCTCCCCACCTGCTCCCCCTTTGCAGGCTGCATGTCTTTCCCTCTCTCTTGTGCACTAAGGACAGAAAGGGCACTCTGGAGCACAGTTTCCACCACACCCAGGGGCTCCCTCTGTTCTGTGATCTCTGAGGCCCCGGCTGCCCTTCAGAAGAAGCAGAGCCTCCCAACGAGCAGGACAGGGGCCTGAGATCCCATCTGTGCAGCCTCACGACAGTGCAGATGAGGGACTTGTGTTCCAGAGAGGGAAAGTAACTGTCCAGTGGCCACGACTAGAAACCTAGGTCCCCTGTTCTCCACAGAATGTACTTTTTACTACATCCCACTCTCCAAGGTATTTCCTCTTGGGTGCAAAGAACTTGCCAGTGTGCGTAGGACCAGGCAATCACTTTCCCTTTGTCATTTTCTTTTTCTTCTCCCACTATTATCCATGGTTTTTGGACAAATCCCAACAAAGAGGGACATAAGGGTGTCCTTGGGATATAATTCAACCTCAAGACTGGTCCCTTGACTTACCAGAGAGCTTTGTCATCCCTCGGGCTCTGATTCTGAATTCCCTCAGGGCCCTGCCAACTGCCCTCAGAGCCTCCTCTGCTGGGTCCATACCAATTGCCCTCAGTTTCCCCACATTCCCCAGCATCACATGGTCGCACCACCACCCCAGTCACGCACACAATAGACTTTGGAGTTCAGCCTCTTCAGTTCCAAGAGGAGAGCCCTTGATGGTCAACTCCAGACATGATCTTGTCCTGAGCGGGGTCTGGAGTGCTGTGCTTATGGCCTACAGGGACCCCTCCACCTGAAGTTTGGAGCAGATTGCATCTTCTTCCCAAAACTGACTCTTCATTTCTTTTTTTTTATCCTTTTTTTTTTTAATTTTATTATGTTATGTTAGTCACCATACAATACATCATTGGTTTTTGATGTGGTGATCCAC